CGCAGGCAGCGAGTGGGAAGCCTGCGCAGAGCTCGAAGCTCAGGGCGAGAGCTGCTCGGGCTCCCCCAGGAGGAGCCCCGGGTCAGGTCGGGCCCGTCCCCCCGAATTACAGGGGGGATTTCTGGACGAACAATGTGCATACATACGCCCAGGAATGCCACAAAATGGTCTGCGCAGAGCTCGAAGCTCAGGGCGAGAGCTGCTCGGGCTCCCCCAGGAGGAGCCCAGGGTTAGGTCGGGCCCGTCCCCCTGATTGCAGGGGGGATTTCTGGACGAACAATTTGCATACATACGCCCAAGAATGCCACAGAATGGTCTGCGCAGAGCTCGAAGCTCAGGGCAGGAGCTGCTCGGGCTCCCCCAGGAGGAGCCCAGGGTCAGGTCGGGCCCGTCCCCCGAATTACAGGGGGGATTTCTGGACGAACAATTTGCACACATACGCCCAAGAATGCCACAAAATGGTCTGCGCAGAGCTCGAAGCTCAGGGCAAGAGCTGCTCGGGCTCCCCCAGGAGGAGCCCAGGGTCAGGTCGGGCCCGTCCCCCGAATTACAAGGGGGATTTCTGGACGAACAATTTTTCAAAATACCCTCAAGGTAACAAAATCATCAAAACATCGTCCCCAGACTAGTGTCATACTATTTTGGAACATTCCCCCTGTAGAGGGACAGGCCCGACTTAAGCCCAAGGTCGAACCGATGAATCGGCTCGGCGACCGAAACTCATCGGCGGAAGTCGGCAGGCCAATAAGAAACCTCCGTTGGGAAATCCGCGTCCAGATCGGGATCCGACATCGGATCGGATACGGTACATCGACAAAATGTTGCACCACCTGGTGTTGTCAAGAAAGCAAGCCGATTTTGCAATGGATGTTCGCTTCCACCCCCCCCTCCCCCCAATCTTAACATTGGCTGCGGTCCCGGGTTCATCGAAACGGCTCGGTGGTGCAACATTCTGTCGCGAGCCCTAGGGGGGGGCGCCAAGGAACCTTTGCTATGTGCCCAATATTAAGATCAGGGGGAGGGGGGGGGAGGAGCAATGCAAGATAGCTGACAATGCGCGGCAAAAGCGGTGCAACATTCCGTCGACGTACGGTATACGAAGCGGAAGTCATCCCATTCTTGCTCGCGGGACCCAATTGAATCTACACCACCACCACCACGCCGACTCCTCCTCCCTCCTCTCCCCTCCTGGCCCTTTCCTCTCTCCCAGGAGGAGGGGGAGGAGGGGGGGAGGGAGGTGGTGGTGCCAGGAGGCAACTACTGGGAGGTTTTCGTCGGAAATATTACAGAGGATTAAGCCCCATTTGGGAGCTGTTACGCCGGAGTGGGCCTCGGACTAAGCAGGATTAAGCCGGATTGAGCGGGACTAAGCGGGATTAAGCGGGATTAAGCGGGATTAAACGGGATTAAGCCGGACTTCGGACCAGGGCAAAATCAGAATTTTACCTCCCAGGAGTTGCATCCGAAGTGGTGGTGTACACATCTGTGCCCCGTATCGCTCCTCTCCACGCTCCTCCCCGGCCCTCTGAGCTGCTGCGCCCTTCTGCTCCGGGCGCGCGCCGGCTCCGGGCGCGCGCCGGCCCTGCAGAGCGCCCGCGCGCGGGCGCCGAGCACGCAGGGAGCCGCTCCCCGCAGAGAGGGTCGCTCTCGGGAAGCTCCGAAATCCGGGAGTTGCATCAAGTCGGGCGTGTCCCCCTACAGGGGGATCGTCGACGAAAGGAAAATTAAAATTACCCCCAAAAATATTCCCCAAAGAGTCAAACAAATACTCAAAAGATAGTCCCCCGAGTATTTAGTTGACTATTTCGGGATATTCCCCCTGTAGAGGGACAGGCTCGGCTTAAGCGTTGCATGTGTTGCGTCACGAAGCACGGAGCACGCTGGCACATGGGCACCGTCCTGGGTGCTGCGGGTGCGGCACCTGGGCGCCGAGCGTCCGAAAATGATGCCCGATCAGAAGTTCGAGTCGACCTTGCTTTAGGTCGGGCGTGTCCTCCTGCAGGCGGAATTGGGAGCAAAGATAAGAAATAGTGAACCGATGCTCAGCAATAGTCAAAGTTAGTCAAACAATCGTCCCCAGGCCATTGATGCACTATTTTTGAAGATTCCTCCTGTGGAGGGGCAGGCCCGACTCAAACCCTGTTCCAAAACTCCGTTGTCGCAACTTCCAAGATGTTCTCGCCCTTGAGGCTGGAGATCTCTTGCCCATCTGTTGCCTCAGGGAAGGCTGAGCCCAGACGGAGCATGCCCCGACGGAGGCCGAGCACTCCGTATGGACTTCCTCCTTATGGACTCAGCCTCCTATCAAGAGAGGCGGAGTCCAAACGGAGTAAGCCCAAGTGGTGACAGAGTACTCCGTGTGGACGTACTCCGCATTGACTTGGCATCCAGCGAACTGTTGGCTCGCAACGGGCGTTCTCGCCAAGCCTCGGCCCCGTGACCCTCAAAGGTCGAGGCGGCCCGAGAAATCCTGCAGAAAGATGGCGTCTAGGGCTCCGGGAAAGACTGTTCGCGATGTTCTACTAAGTTAATGTGTCCGCAACCTGGGATCTCGGGGCAGAGCGAACCCTCCTGGGATGTCTTCGCGGTAGCGATGAAAAGCTCCTCGCGGCGCGAAGTTTCGACCCCTCCTCCAGCCCTCCTCCAGCCCTCCAGTCCTCCTCCAGCCCTCCAGCCCTCCTCCAGCCCTCCTCCTCCTCCTCCTCTTCCTCCTCCTCCTCCTCCTCCTCCTCCTCCTCCTCCTCCTCCTCCTCCTCCTCCTCCTCCTCCTCCTCCAGGGCGGACCCGCCTCAGCGTGAGGCCGAGGCCCCCGCGCCGCGCACCTCCGCCCCCGGCCACCGTGCGGACGGAGAGGCTTCCAGAGGTGTGGCGGCCCGGAGTCCACAGGCGGCCCCGGCGCCGCGAACGCCTGCACCTTGCACGTCTCCTGGGCTGTCGCTGTTAAGTCGGGCCTGTCCCCCTACAAGGGGGAGTTTCGACGAATGATCAAAAATACCCCCAACAATAGTCAAAAAATAATCCAAAAATAGTCTGGGGCTTAATTTCTGAATTTTGTTTTTTACCTTTTCGGGGTATGTTTGGATCATTTTCAATTTTTCGTCGAAAATCCCCCTGTAGGGGGACACGCTCGACATAACCCTCACAGTCCTGTCATTGAATGGAAAAATGTGTTTCGCATGTAGGAAGCACGTTCTGAACATGTGTTCAACATTTTGTTTTTTGCATGTTCAGCGAAATGCATGTTATAAGCATCTGGGAAGTATTTGGCAACATGCTTCCTCTCCGTTGATCGTCCTCCGCAACCCTGGGATAAGACGCAGGGATGGAGGAGCAGGGTCGGGAAAGAGACCTCGAGAGGGGTCACGGAAGGAAGCAGCGAGGGGCCGTGGGCCGAGCGTCGAGTCGCGCTGGTCGGAGAGTGGCGAGGGGGGCGCAGCAAGCGCGGGGGGGGGAAGCGCAGGGCGAAGGGGAGAAGATGCTGGCGAGGAAAGCACTAACAATCATGCGTGATTCTCCCCCTTCTCCTGCTCGTTCTCCTCCTCCTCGTCCTCCTCCTGCTGCTCCTCCTCCTCCTTCTCCTGCGCCCCATGCCCCTTGCTCTCCCCGTTCCCCCTCCCCCCTCTCCCCCCCTCTCCCCTCACCTCTCCAGGCCTCCCTTCCTCACTCCCCTCGCCTCTCCAGGCCTCCCTTCCCCTCACCCCACAATTACTCAATATGAATACTACTCTCCCTCTTCCCCTGATGACGTCTTGGGAATGTTCGCCCCCCCCCCCTCCCCGCGTACTGTTTTTTACACACAGGTTTCCCCGGAGTTGGGGTTTTCGCTTGCATTTGTTTCCAAAATGCTGCTCTCGCTGGGGCGCCGGCCTCATTTTCGGGCCCCGCTCGTTCCCAATCGTGCTCCCGCTGCAGCGCTGGCATCATTTCCGCCGGCGCCCGGGCTGCACGCCCGAGCCGGCGCCCGGGCTGGCGTCCGGGCCGGGTCCGGAGCCGGTTCCGGCCGGCGCCGGAAAATCGAGTTCCGAGGCGGCGCCGAAAAAATGCCATTCTAATACGCATTCTTCTTTTGAAACTGCTCAATTTCTTCTTCCGGCGCCCGAGGCCTCCCGGGCCGATTCCGACGCCCAGGCCGGCGCCCGAGCCGGCGCCCCGGCCGGACGCCCGAGCAGGCGCCCGCGGGCCGGCGCCCGGGCCTGCAGGTCCGGAGCCGGTTCCGGCCGGCGCCAGAAAATCGAGTTCCGAGGCGGCGCCGAAAAAAGGCCATTCCAATACAATTTCTTTTGAAAATACTGATTTTCTGCTTCTGGCGCCCGGGAAGCCTTCCCCGGAGTTAGGTTTTCGCTTGCAATGTTTCCCCAAATGCTGCTCTCGCTGAGGCGCCGGCCTCATTTTCGGGCCCCACTCATTCCGAATCGTGCTCTCGCTGCAGCGCTGGCCTCATTTCCGTGCTTCCGCTCGTTCCGAATCGTGCTCCCGCTGCAGCGCTGGCCTCATTTCCGCGCTTCCGCTCGTTTCGACTAGTGCTCCCGCTGCAGCGCTGGCGTCATTTCCCGTGCCATGCCACGGCATGCAATGCAATGCCAGATTGATACTACGCTTCGCGGTGCTCTTCTACGCCATGCCATGCCGTGCTCTACAATGCATCGCGGACCCTTTCGGGATCATCGCCCTGCTTGACATCCGACTGTACGAGTAGAGAGGGGATCTACGCCATGGTAAGGGATGGGAGGGAGGGGTAGGATGTCAGATATGACGCGAGCGCACCTAGCTTGCCTCTCCCCCCTCTCCCGCTCACTTCCCCACTCCCCTCGCCGGGCTCCGCTCCGCTACGCTCCGCTCCCCCGTCCTTCTCCTCCCCCCCTTCCCCCCTCCCCCCTCCTCCCCCGTGCTCCTCCCCCCCTCCTCCCTCCTCCTCTATTCCGAATCCCGTGTCTCTTCCTACCCTCCTTCCCCCCCCCCCCCGCCGCTCCCTCCTCCCGCCTGCGGCACCGCGGCCCTTT